TCTAGTATAATTCTGTGAAAAAAAAATAGGGCACATTTTAACTTTAGAATCTAAAGAAATCTAAAGAAAATTTTTTGAAGAGTGATGGGGAAATTAGAAGTTCCATTTATTCTAGCTTAAAAAGCATTTGATTGGGGCATCTGGGTGGCTCAGTCAGTTAAGCGTCTGACTCTTGGTTTTAGCTCAGGTCACGGTCTCAGGGTCATGGGTTTGAGCCCTGCCTCAGGCTCTGCACTCAACATGGAGTCTTCTGGGGATTATCTCCCTCTTCTCTGCCTCTGCTCCTCTTCCTGCCTCACACGCTCCCTCTCTAAAATAAATAAAATCTTAAAAAAAAAAGCATTTGACTAATGATATCAACCATTTTTCTAAGCTATAAACAAGCTTAGATCAGAATTTTGTATTCTCCAATTTTAGTCTTTCATGTATCACCTACCCAACTTCTTCCATGTCTATGTATCATTATTTACTTCATATTTTTCTTCAAATCAATCTTTTTTCTTAAAAAAATGAGTTTTGTCCTAAGTAAAAATACTCATGAATCAGATTTGATGTGACTAACATATAATTTATAACCACGAAAATAAAACTTGTACCACATACAATTATTTTTATATGTTGTACACTTTATGAGTCTGGATTAGATGACCTCTGAGGTCCCTCCCAGACAAACATTTCGTCATTCTAAGTTAGTTCCTATACCTCAGTATTTTAATTATTCAGTAAAGAACACTGAATCAGTGCCATAAGGAACATAACCATAATCTTGTGGCCATAAAGAAGTATTTATTAAGATCTGTGCCATGATATTCTCCTTCTTAAAATCCAAGATAGATACAGTGGAATTTATAAATTCAGCATGGCCAACTGCTGTTAGACAGGAACATGTAAAATATTTACAGGGTACAGAAACCAGTGATGTGGTATATGGTGTGAGGGAAGTAAGTTATTTTAACAGTTTGGAGTATAGAAGAATTAAAGAAAACAAATTTACTCTCACCCTGCCAATTGGGAAAACTAATCTTATGAAACTTTCTGGGGACTCAAAAGAGGTATGGAAGAGTTGCAAAGATGAAGGTAATCAACCACAGATCTTGTTTGAGGAATATGTTTTAGAAATATGAATAATGCCATTAAAAGAAGAGGTAACCCTAAATAAAATGAACAGGGTAGGCAGGAAAAGAGAATCTAATATTCTCAAACTTCAGTCAATTCAAATTCAGAACAGAATGGTGAATGGCCTTTTACATAGAGGATTAAAGAAAGAAAAAAAATTACCCACCAGAAATTACTTTTGATGGGTATGATTCCAATTCCTGCTCTCAGGTTATTCTATTTTTTTAAATATTTTATTTATTTGAGAGAGAGAATGAGATAGAGAGAGTACATGAGAGGGGGGAGGGTCAGAGGGAGAAGCAGACTCCTTGCTCAGCAGGGAGCCCGATGCGGGACTCAATCCCGGGACTACGGGATCATGACCTGAGCCGAAGGCAGTCGCTTAACCAACTGAGCCGCCCAGGCACCCTCTCAGGTTATTCTAAAAGGAAAGGTAACTATAATGTTTTTTGGTAGTGGACACTACCCGGGTAGGGTTAAAAACTAGAAAACTTTGAGTTTTCATTCAAAACATCCTTTTCATTAAATTTCTCAGGGCATAAGTCATTTAGCTCAATATTTTTAGCAAGAAAAAGACTATTCAGGTTATATTCACTTGCCTTTTTAAGACCAAAAATAACACACTTTTAAAGGTTTTGATAACAAAAATTCCTTTAAAAAACTGTCTAAATAATCATCCTTCTTAAAATGTGGGAATACTACTAGTAGATAATATTCCTATGTAGCAATGTGAGAAAATTTTTTTTATTTTCATTTTTTTTAAAGGATTTTAAGTAATCCCTACACCCAACATGAGGCTTGAACTCACAACCCTGAGATCAAGAGTCTCATGCTCTACTGACTGAGGCAGCTGCCCTCCAAAATTGTTTCTTTTTAGAATGAAAAAATTACTTTTCACAAATGAGATTTATTTTGGGTTTGGTTTAACACCAAGATTACTAAGGAGAATGAATTTAAGAAGTTGTGATGACTGATGCTTTAATACTGGAAGTCTTTATCCAGAAAATTATTTTCAATGGCTAGTATGAAGTAGACTTCAAATAATGCAGTCTTAAAATTTTTAGTTTTTAAACTTACAAACTGAACATACAACTTCATATAAATATGTAAATTACATGACAACTTTTAGCTTTGTGAATTTGTATTTTACAACATAAATGTACACATTTCTTTCTCTTAAGATTTGAATGTTGTCTTAAAAGATTAATTTATGGAAAGCTAAACCAATATTAGGAGTATATGTAATTCCATAACCTAAATGCCTTTAACAAAAATTCTTGTACTCTATCTTCAGTCATCAGAACTGAAAGTTACAGGCAAACTAATATATATATCCCCAAATTTCATCTTAATTTATAGGAATGAGACTGTGTTAATTATAGGGTAAACCTGACCAACCAAATTGGCTTCTCCATTGGGATGTTTGGTCTAACTATTTGTTTTCACTTAAATTCCTAATGAGTATTGATTTTTTGGCAAACTAATCTGCTTCCCAACAGGATTGTGGCCATTTGATTTTTATTAGCTTTTTCAAATTTGTGTAAGTCATAGTGCTCTTTAGGCATTAAAATTCCATTAAAAATGAATCATAGTCGTTTGGGAAACATATTAAACGTCTTACAAAAGGTAGTAATACTGACAAAACAAGCAAAAGTAAGGTTAATGGTAAAGTGTCAGAAATTTAAGTAATACAATGCTTTCCAAGTCAGATTTAAAAATTAGGAATAGTGTTAGTCTATTGAAAAAAAACAAAACAAAAGCCCTACATATACTACACCTGCTAACAACTCAGCAATCACCTAACAACAGGCTGTGGACCCTGTGAAATGGAGAAACTGGTTAGTGTGTGATGACACACATTCAGGAAATCTAAGAGAGGTGATTTAAAATGGTAAAACTGGCAAATTTACAAGCAGGAAGAGAGGCTTTTGAGTAGTGCACAGTCGTTTTCAAATATTGGAGTACAGGGGAATTTGGAATTTCATAAGTAATAACTCATTGCAAGGTGAAGATAAAAAAAGCAAGAAAAAAAAATGACCCAATACTACTGCCAAGAATTCTACAGTGGTGCTAATAAACATCACTATCAGTTATGTATTCTCAGACTTGAACTGTGCTTCAAATCACAAGAGTTCAGTGGAAATGTTTGTTTTTGAGGGGGAAAAACCCAGAAGTAGTTAGAAAAATCTTTTAGTTAGGGTTTTTCTGAAGAAGTTCTTTAATAAGCTAAAAATATAAACCAGCTACCCAAGCCAATTATGGTGTCATTGACTTATTTGAAAGCTGAGTCAAAGCAAAAAGGTTTTACTGGACAAACTGTCAGCGGGATGTGGCCTCAAGATGCAGATTCATGAAAAAGCACAAAATTATATGGTTCTAAAACTTGGATTAATATCTCTTGAGGTTTCCTTAAAATTAATTTGATTACTAATGTGATCAAATGTAAAGCAATAAAATACAAAATTGAAAAAAACCTACCAAGGCATTAGTTTGTTTCCTAAAAATAAAATTCTTGAAGGTGTATGTGTATAAAAAAGGCATAAAAACAGAATTACCAAGAAGGTAGCAGAACAGCTAGGTTAAGTAGTCATGAAAAACACCCCAAGGACAAAGCTTATATTTTAATGCAACATGGTGTAATGGAAACATTATTAGACTGGAAGCGAAATAACTTGGATCCCACTGTCTGCTACAACTGGTTTTGTGACCTTGGCCTATTTCTATAAGAAACTTAAGAGAACTAGAGGGTTTAGACCAGATGGTTTCTAAGATTCTAGTCCAGTTTAAACCACTCTGATATTAAGTTTTCTCAGAAACATTTCTATCAGGTAGCCCTGATGAATTTCTAGGAATACAATTATGCATATGACAATAGTAGAGTTAAAAATGATTGGCTTTGAAATTTGTTGCTGCCACCATTCTCAAGATAGATTAAATTTCCATGGTTCTTGTAGTGGGAAAACCATAGATCATAAATTGATCTCTTCAACTATAGCACTATTCCTGAACACTGCCGTTTGTTAGCAACAGTGTTTATTGGAGTTCATTGATAGACCAAATCATATCTTTGTGATACTGCTATTTAAGAAGCTGCTATTGAATTGTAGTTATGTCCCTGTCTCCCATCTCCCAATTCAAATGTTCAAGTCCTGAGCCCCAGTACCTCAAAATATGACCGTGGGCACCTGGGTGGCTCAGTTGGTTAAGCGACTGCCTTCGGCTCAGGTCATGATCCTGGAGTCCCTGGATTGAGTCCCGCATCGAGCTCCCTGCTCAGCGGGGAGTCTGCTTCTCCCTCTGACCCTCCCCCCATCTCATGTGCTTTCTCTCTCTCTCATTCTCTCTCTCTCAAATAAATAAATAAAATCTTAAAAAAAAAAAAATATGACCGTGTCTGGGGACAGAATCTTTACTATAAATAAGTTAAAATAAGGTCATCAGGGTTAACCCTAATCTGGTATGACTGGTGACCTTATAAAAAAGGGAAGTTTGAGAAATAGACTTGCATACAAACAGAACACGATGTGAATGAAAACGGCCATCTATAAGCCAAGAAGAAAGTCAGAACCCTTTATCTTCCACATCTTCCTAATTCCAGATTAATACCTCAGTGGGTTTTCGCAGTCAATAAATGATTTGACATCAGCATCTTGGGCTTACTTTGCTGTCGCATAACTGAAAATGAATTTTGAAAAGGTTGAGCTATGAAATGTTAAAACTGGTTTTATTGTCTAATCCCTTACCAGTTCCTCCTTACTCCCATCTTAAATCATTTAACTCACAGATAGGGGCTAAAATTGAATGAGAATTAAAAAAAAAAAGACTGCCAACAAAACTGGATCTTCCCTTCCTACTCTAACACTTGCCTCCTAGTGTTGTTAAAAGAATTACACAGATGAAGAGTCCACTGAGTCTTGGGGATAATTCCTGATGGGGATTATCTGGGAGGGTTTGGGTTCTTATTAATGGGACTATCAGTGGACTTAATTGTACGGTACATTGCATTTAAGTTCTGATAATGCAGTACTTTAATGACTTCATACCTGAAAAACTGAGGTCGTTTTGAGTTTAAAAAATTTAATAGCACCCATGGTTACGGAAGGAAAACTGTGGTCTAGTTTCTTTAGTACATCTGTTTCTCATCAATTCATGAAATCAGAGCTTATGTAAGAAACAAGACGACAGATACCAAGAGTGGTTAAAACTACCATGCACTGAAAATACCACATTTAGGATACCATTATTTACTGAAAAATGTAGCAATGCCAAGAAAATTGGACAATTAAAAAAATCTTACTTGTTAAAAGCAATTCTCATAAGTTATGTTTAAAATCATCCATTTTCACATCTCCAAAAAAGTCAAATTTATTATTTTACATTAACATTACGGCAGTTAAAGAAAATAATCAAGTTGTCTCATGGACTGGAAGATGACTTATTAATTCCCTCTCATTTCCAAACCTCATCAAGCAGTCACTACATTTATGAGGTAAGTCAGCTGAATGCTTGAAATCTAGATGAATTTTAAGATCTTCAATTTGTCCTGTTGAATATTCACAGTATTGACATAAATAAATCCCTTCAGATAAATGTGAATTTAAATGTTTGCAATATTCTAGCATACTTGAAAAGCCTTTCCCACAGTCATCACAAACGTGAGGAAAAATTTTAGTATGTTCAATAGCAACATGCCTGTTAACATTTGTATGAAGTCTACTCCGAAAACCACATACTTGACATACAAAGAAGTTTTTACATTTGTCAAAGGTAATTTTGCTTAAGAGGCTGTACTGTCCATGTTCTCCATTGTTATACTTATCACTTAACTCAATTAATTTACATGCATGTTCATTTACCACATGGCTATGCAAGTCTTCTGGATCATTTGTTTCATGTTCACAAAACTGACACAAGTACTGTTCATCACAGCTGTGCTCCTGGAAATGTAGGTAGAGTTCACTGCTTGAGGAGAACTGTACATCGCACTGCTCACACCAATAGAGGTGGTCACTAAAATGGGTGTCTGCAATGTGCTGACTGAGGTTCTCAAAAATCACTGTTTTATAATCACAATATTTACAAATGTAGGGATCCTCTTCATGCAGTTTGGCATGTTCGATCAAAAGCATGTTGGTAGAGAAACTTTCCTTGCATACTCGACACACATTTGAATCAGTACGCTTATGCTTCAGGATCATATGCTGCTTTAAATCAGAAAAATATTTGCTGTTGAACTCACAAAGTTCACACTTATAGAGGCCACTGCTATTGGCTCTCAGTAAAGGCCACTTCTGTTGGGCAGTCACATTCAAAGCTTGGCTCTTGTCAAGAATTTTGCAAAGTTTAGCTGGTGGCTCCTCATCAGTTTGGTCTTGGAGACTTTCCGAGGAATTGTTTTCTGTCTCTATATCATAATCTTCAGAAATTGCATGCACTTCTGCAGCAATTGGAACATCTTCAGCAGTGTGAACTTCTATAGGACTCTCCTCTTGAGTTTGTTGGTTGACTGACTCAGGTGAGTCACATTCTTCATCACAAATTTCAATATCAGCAGATTTTTCTGAAAAATATAACACGTCTATTATCACTAAATAAGACTTACTGAATAATTGGCAAAAAATTTATTTTATCCCTAATTTTTTCATTAATCTATATAAAATAAGCAAATGCTATCATCTGGTTTCCCTAACCTGTAGAAAAGGCAGTATGGTCTAGAATTCTAAGTACAGGACTGGGAACCAGGTAGTTCTGATTTCTATTTCTGGCCTTGATTCCATCTGTAAATTTTGGCAAGTCATTTGATGTCTCTGTATCAGAATCATCATCTGTAAAAAGAGATTTGGAAAAATACTTATTATTTATATCAAAGCATTAAATATTAATTATTATTAAACAAAGCACTAAACATTTTAATTATAATTTTGAATTCCAACAGGAGTTAAAGGACTTAGATTTAGCCAGGAAAAGAGATGTTATCCAACAGACACACAAAAAAAACCTGTCCAAACAAGCAACTGCTTTTCCATCTGTGCCCCATTTGGACTAGAATATACTTTTTAAAGTTACTTAGGAATTTTCAGTTTAATGAAGTTTGAATACACTTTATTCCCTCAGCCCAGACCCAATGTTTTAAAGTTAGCATGGGGAAACTAAAATACAGGTCAGCAGAAAAAACTGGGTTTCAACCTCATGTCACTGTTGTTTAAGACTTTATTTTTTAGAAGTTCTCAGAAAAAATCTGAGAAGACAGTACAAAGAATTCCTATATCCTGCATTCAGTTTCTCAATTCTCTTACATTACATTACATGTAACTCCATGCTCTTAATATGATACATTTGTTCCAATTAATCACCAATACTGTAAGATGGTATTAACTAAAGTCCATACTTAAGCAGATTTCCTTAGTTTTTACCTAATGTCCTTTTTCTGTTTCAAGATCCTAAGATTCCACATCACATTTAGCTGTCATCTCTCTCTAGGATACTGTTAGCTGTGGCAGTTTCTCAGACTTTGTTTTTGATGATCATGACAGTTTTGAGGAGTAGAGGTCAGGTATTTTGTAGGATACCCCATGATTAGACTGGGATTATGGGTTATTAGAGGTAGACTAGAGAGGCACATCACATCAAGGGTACATAGTACTAACATGATTTATTACTGTAGATGTTGACTGTGATCACCTGGTTGAAGTAGTATTGATCAGGTTTCTCTGTTGTAAAGTCACGCTTTTACTTTCCATACTTTATGCTTTGGAACAAAGTCCCTGTATGCAGTCCTCATTTAAGGAGTGGAAAGTTATGTTCCACCTCCTTGAGGGAGGAGCCTCCACATAAATAATATGGAATTCTTCTATAGTTTCTTTCTAATTTATTTATTCATTCAATCACATCAGTATGGTCTCAGAAATATTTTCTATTTTGGGTTATAATTCTTTTTTTTTCCTCAAATTGTTTCAGCTTTGGCTACTGGGGGCTTTTTTAGTCGGCTCCTGTGTTCCTTTGAAGTACCTGTATTGTGTGCGTGTGTTGAGTATTTCCTTATTTTCTGGCACTACAAAATGCTCCAGGCTCATCTTACGTATTTCCCGCCGCAGAACTAGAATCAGCCATTTCTCCAAGTGCTAGTTCTTTTTGTTGCAGAATGGTTTTAGAAACCAAAATCTGGGCTGACTTCTACTGGGGCGTCATTTCTTTTAGGCCCTCTCAGCTAACAGAGTAAAAACGTTTGTACACTGCTACATATACACAGACATATCTATAAATATCTCTGTATGTAACCATCTGTGTCTCTATTAAGCCAAACATGACTTCATAAAAATGTCTCCCAACTCCTTATGCTTTTTAAAAAAAATTATGTTTCTGTGCCTCTGATAGGAGCTCAAGGAAATTGGCAGTTTTGATGGTTGCAAAGAAAGAAGAGAGCAAATGCAAATTTTTATCATTTACCCAATGCTCTCGAAAAGACTCAATAAAAGATGCAAGACTGAAAAACACCAAATCCTTCACCCTCTGTTTCTTCCTTCCGTTAGCCCTCTAGACTACAGCTGAGTGGAAGAACTGTGTTTAACACTATCTTAATCTTTCATCATAAATGCTCCCAACTCTGGGTCAGTCCTGATTTTCTACCAATTCCTTGCCACCTAAAATGGACTTAGGAGAGTGTGCTTTTTATTTATAGGTCTGAAATAATGTTAAAAATTAAAAATTCATACTTGCTTTCTTACAAAACACCTTATTTCCTTACATTTAAACAAACTGAATACTTGCCCATTTAGAAGTCGTAACTTTCACTCACATTTTCAAGTAAGAAATAAAAATACATCAAAAGCAACTTAAAGGATATTTTGGAAAATACGATATATACCTTTGTTGTCAAAATATTTTAAGTCTGGTTGTCTCATAGAACAAACACTATAACAATGATCAGAAAAAATTCCATTGAATCCATCTGCAATTCTGCTTATTCCAGAGGAATCTGAACATAAGAGCAAAATTTTAAAAATTTCAAGCATACATACATTTAATAACAGCCATCCCTTTATCCAACATATGTAAATTATATTTGTAAAAAAGTATTAATATTTCCTTCAATTCTGAAAACTTCTATATTTCATATCTGATACATTGAGCTTTGAAAGAACCACAAATTACATGATTTACAGTACAACACTTGAAGTGCACAAAGATCTGCCTTACTGTCAGAATTCCACAAATTATAAATATGTGATAAATCTATTAACTACAAAAAACAATGAATTAACTACCAAGAAGATCTGCCATGTAGTGAAGAGAAAGCACAAGACATTAACTACCAAGAAGATCTGCCATGTAGTGAAGAGAAAGCACAAGGCATAGGGGAAATGGTCCGAGAACCAATTAGGGCTTCTGAATAGTCATTTCAAGTCTTGTCTGGGAGGGGATAGGGGGCAGTAAATCAGGCTTAATTTCCTCAGATATGAAGAATGTGTAGCTTGGGTGGGCTAGCAGGTATGCCAGAGACTGTCTCAAATATAGATACGTGAGATGTTACAGGTGGCCACACAGACCTCTCTTATTTTTTTTGCACCAATATATACTTTATTATTGTTTTAACTTAAATTCAATTAATTAACAAATAATATATTATTAGTTTCAGAGGTAGAGTTCAGGGATTCATCAGTCTTATATAACACCCAGTGCTCATTATATCATGTGCCCTCCTTAATGTCCATCACCCAGTTACCCGTCTCCCACCCTCCCTCCCCTCCAGCAACCCTGTTTGTTTCCTATGATTAAGAGTCTCTTATGGTTTGTCTTCCTCTGATTTCATCTTGTTTTATTTTTCCCTCCTGTCCCCTATGCTCCTCTGTTTTGTTTCTTAAATTCCACATGAGTCTTCTTAAGACCTCTCTTATTGCCAGGATAGCAGAGCCAACCTCAACCAAAGGACCTAAAATAACACAATCAAAATAAAGTTTACATTTCTGAAAATAATGTATAGGATAAAAAATTTTTTCCCAATGATCCAAATATCTTCCACCAAGTTTAATGTTGTGCCTTAAGGACAAGCTTGAGAATCACACAAGCAAATCTCAATTATGCTGTATAAGCATGCAACCTTGGTTATCTAATTTTAAATATCTTTCAACCTTTAAGTTGTAAGTATTAAATAATGTCCGTAAACTTCTCATGTGTGCCTAGCACATGGTAGACAATGAGGAATATATATTCAGAGAACTTAAAGTTTTCTCTTACCTAAAAATTGACCCAGATATTTAACTGTTATCTGATCATTTATGAGAAAATGGATAAGAATACAATTGCACGGGACTTAATCCAGGGCCCAACTTTAAAATAATCCACTGACCTGAGTAACGAGAAGGGTGTAATGTCTTCCGTTTTCTTTTTTTAGGATATTCATTCATATCTTTTCAATCTAAAAATGGAAAAATTTAACAAAAATATCACAAATAAAGACTGTTAATATTTTATAAAAATTCCTTCTAACCAAAGCACTTACTGGTAGTAAGAAATGTGTGCGCCACTTGAAAATCTACTTTGTAAGAGAAGTGTTAAACAATGCTTCCATTTGGGGCGCCTGGGTGGCTCAGTCAGTTAAGCGGTTGCCTTCAGCTCAGGTCATGATTCCAGGGTCATGGGATCGAGTCCCGCATCCGGCTCCCTGCTCAGCTGAGAGCCTGCTTCCTCTCCCTCTGCACCTCCCCCTGCTCATGCTCTCTCTCTCTCTCTCTCTGTATCTCTCTGTCTCAAATGAATAAATAAAAAAAAATCTTTTAAAAAAACAACAAAAAACCCCCCAAAAAACAATGCTTCCATTTATATTTGGATTTATTTTTCTGATCAAATTTAAAGGCAGGACACCAATAACTGTTTTTTTTTCTTGGTGATGTTGAGAAGTCCATTTCACATGTTGATGTAATTTTGAGAACTGTATAATTACAATAAACCATACTCTTAAATTACTTTTTATTAAAAAAATTGTTATGGTACCATATTAATAATAAGACAGGTACATTTTTTTTAAAGATTGTATTTATTTATTTGACAGAGAGAGAGCACAAGTAGGCAGACAGGCAGGCAGAGGGAGAGGGAGAAGGAGGCTCCCTCCTAAGCATGGAGCCCGATGTAGGACTTGATCCCAGGACCCTGGGATCATGACCTGAGTAGAAGGCAGCCGCTTAACTGACTGAGCCACCCAGGCGCCGTAAGACAGGTACATTTCTTACAACTGGGAATATTTTGGTACAGTTTTCATGCTAAAGGTGGATATATTCCCTTAAAAAAATATTTACACAAGTCTATATTGATCCTGACTTCCAGAAAATATACTCATCACATAGAAGCTCAGAATATAATTTTCAAGAAAAAATCCTTTTCTTACTTACAAGATCACATTCAACATTCTATTTAGAACAAAACAGGTAGCAACTTTTGTTTAATCATTAAATGATTAAATTCCCATCAACTTATAAAATTGACTAATTGGTTTTACCACATTCCACTTACTTGGTATAATTCTTAATACTGTAGTGAGGAGAAATGAATTACAGGGAAGTTTTCACAGATGGTAAAAAAATGCCTGTAGGAAAAAACACAACAGAAGTCATATAAGCAAAAATGTAGTTCACTTCTGAGACTCAAGAATACAATGGCACCAGGGCGCCTGGGTGGCTCAGTTGGTTAAGCGACTGCCTTCGGCTCAGGTCATGATCCTGGAGTCCCGGGATCGAGTCCCACATCGGGCT